ATAAAAATCATTTTTCATCACATTTCCTAAAAAAACAGTTGATATCTGCACCTGAAGATCATATTACATTACCTTCACATGCATTAACTGATTTTGTTATCTTAGAAAATTATTAGAATCCTTTAGAATATTCAAAAAGCAAGGAACCAAAAAAATCAGACCTGCAGACCAGAGCTGTTGAATGCAGGGAATTTAAAACCACAAAAAGATTTATAGTGGAGAATGTTCTTTTTCCGGGTGGGTCATTAAAATAAGTGGTCATCCTAATTGTCAATCATTCTGGTGATATATTTGCGTAAGGCCGTCCTACGCTCTCGTCCGTCCCTATTTTCACTTACCAGTGGTGAGTCTGACAGCGATGCAAACAGCAACTTTTAAACAGAGCGTGCACGAGAAGAAATGGGCTCCTGCACGTTCTTGCACATGTTTAATGTTCCTTCTCTGAAGTGGGTACAGGGTTGTGCATGTGCATTTTTTTTTTTTTTAAGTGGAGAGGACGGGTCTCTTAAAAAAATTGCAAAAATCCTCCATTATACCTTTAATAAAGGAGCCGGTGCTGTCTGTCGTCCTTTTCCTGTCAGGTGGCAAAAAAACCAAAGAAGTGAAGGATTTCCTGCATCTTGGCTGAAGCCTTTAAGCATCGATTTAAGGTTAAATATCTCTTCTAAATATTCCTCACCGCATTCATTACGTTTATTTATTTGTCACATCTTCAACATTGTGGTCAGTTTTAGCCCGTGGTTCATCCGACTGTTAGAAGCTTAGAAACTTCTTAGATCTTCATCCGGACAATGAGGATGTGATCACAAAAAAGCAATCAATAAAAATATTATTTTTTGCCCTGATTTTGCTGAAAATTATGGGGTGTGGCTGCTTTGCTCCACAGAGAAGGAGGGGCTGAGTGTTAGGATTCTCATCATTAAAGCTGAATGCTTCAGATAAATCAGCAATGCTGCAGCTGACCACACTCTCCGTTGTGATAACTATAAAAGTGACGTTTAAAAAATAACTTTTTTGCTGTCTTTATGTGAATGAACAGCTGTAATAGCATAACACAGCATTATCAGCCCCATCCTCACTGATACTGCTTTAGAAAACCAGGTTGAAAACAGTCAACAGTTACATTTTCATCAACTTTTTTCCATTTTCATTTTTAAAAAAAAGGCAAATGAGTAAGCATTTGGACAATTCGTCCATTTTCTTTCTGGTGGGGGTCAATTTTCACGCTCATTAATCTTTCTTTATTGTTGTAAAGCTAAATATAAATTCTCATGACAACAAGAAATTGACCGTATTAAAGTGAGGCTATAGATGGCCTGAACTGAGCTGATTCTATGGCTTTGAGGGTAAGAAGCTCTCAGATCCACTGGAAACCCAACGGCTGCTTTGATCTGAGAGGATCGCTGATCACCAGAGCAGGATCCCCGAAGGTGATTAATCTGATTAATTGAAGCAAAAGTTTCTTATTACCGTGAAAAAGGAAATCATTTCAGATTATTTTCACTTTCTGAAGAGTGAGAAAGTCAGAATCATGAGTGGGAACGTCGGAGGGCCAGCACCGTATTCAGATCAACCATAGTCTCATCGTTTGAAGCAGTTATTTCTGGAGCATTTAATTCCTGTCATGCATCCCAGTGTTTATAAGTTAAACTGCTTCATTTCTTTGTATAAAAGTTGTGTTTTTATGTTCTGGTTGAGGAGAACGAGCATGAATTCAGTATATTTTTTACATCTGACCTAAAACCCTGAAGCGATTCGAGGAAATTATGAAACTATCCAACAGCACGGGGGCCTCAGGACCCGGCTCAGACACCAGAGGTTCTGATAATGGAAGCTGAACTTCATAAAACATGCAGAACTAGAACAGAACTGGAAACAGAACACATAATCAGGCCCATCTGGAATGATTGTGTTTGGCCTTTGATTCAAGGATAGAATCTGGGCTCACTGGTACCGGTGCTTGATGGAGATGGCTCCATCTTGTCTTTCAGAGCGGGATTAGTGGAGAAAATTAAGATCATCTTAAAACAGACAATCGTGTTTCAGAATCCATTTTTTTTTTTTTACATTTCTAAGCAGCTAAAAACAAACAGAAACTTTGTCTTAAAACCCAAATTTGATGCACATTTCATTTCAACCAGCAATGCAGCAGAGATCCAGCTTCTCATAAAACTTCTTTTCCAGTTTCCTCCATTACTCATTTATTTTGTAAAACTGTTAAAAAGTTGAAATAATCACCAGAAATAGGTTTTCATTTAATTGGAAAATAAAAAAAACTGTTGCCTGTAAGAGATGAGGATGTTTTTTCAGATGATGATGATGTGACTATGGTCTAGCTACTTGTTAATTTGTGTTTTTTTGAAGCATCTTTTGCAGTTTCCAGCTTCTTTGTCCACATCAGGAATAAAATCTGATCCCTTTATTTCCCACAGAGCTCCCAGAGAATCAAAAATCATCCTCCACATCCGCCACCATTATCCTCTGCATCCCCCGGTTGCTGCTCTAGAGACAGTAAGAGCAGCAGCTTCACCAAAAGGCTTTGGGGTCTGAGGTCCAGAAGGACGCCTGCCATGAGCTCAAATACATTAGTGTTCAGAACAACATGATTTTACTCCAAAAAATGTATTTTTACACCATGTTTCACTGCCGCTGCTCCTTTCTGATCCCTCAGAGCATCTGGAGCTATGGCTGCAGAGCAACAACAAACCAAAGGCAGGATTGCAGACCAGAGAACTGGACGTCTTCAGCTGGTATCAGTGGGTTTCCATGCAACAGAAGGTTGGATATCCCAGGAAAGCATCAGAAAGTTTCCAGGTCACCTCCTGCTCTCCAACATATTTTACCCAGAAGAACATCCATCCCCAAACATAGCAACAGAATGGAGAAACTTCTCTGCTCCAGGCGGGAAAACATCCCTGTTCTCCATATTCTCTGTACCTTTAAAAAAGGGACCCATCTGGTCCTTTAAGGGCCTCATCGCTCTGCAAAGCTCGGGGCTTTAAAGCATCACATTCTCTCTACCTGGATCCAAAAGCTCTGAGTCTCATGATGAAAATGAATTGGACCTTCTGTCAGAGCACAACTGTGACATCCATGTCTGGAATATAACGTTTTCTCCTAATTGATATTTGAACCTCCAGAGCTTCAACTGTACTTCAACCTAGAAACTGATTGGTCAATACAAGCAAGAAATTGGTTGAACTTTACCAATCTTGGTTCTTCTGTGTCCAGCCAATCTTTTGGCTAAAACAACTAATCTATATTGGTGAAAGAGCAAACCAATACAAATTGGTAACTTTGATTAATGTTAGTTAATCGTTGTAATGGCATTGAAAGCCAGAACTGGGGCTTGAACATCCAACCCCACGGTTACAGAACAAACTCCTGCATCCAACACCGCTGTCATTTCTGACACTTTCTAGAAAGTAATAATACTTAATTCTAACGTAAGGACCGCAGGTAAAGCCAAGATTAGCAGGCTGTACATGAACACACCATCTCTAGGTCCATAACTACACACAGACAAACACAGACACCCCTTCACTCGCCTTCAGTTTGTCTTACTTTGATCATAATGTGCAGAAAACTGAGCTGAACTATTTCCCCCAGCTTTAAATAAACAGATGAATTAATCGATGCCATTTGTTTCATTTGAGCCATTTGTAATTTTTTCACCCCTTCATATTTAAATTGTTGGTATTATTAGGTCGAACGGGATAACCTGCACAGAGGGCTAGTTTTTAATGCAACTTAGAACAAACTGAATGCATAAATAGATAAAATTATTCATATGTAAATAAAGACAATTAAAAAAAACTACATTAATAAATAAATGACTGATTTTAACTAAGAGTTTTACAGCTAAATGTGACACACTCTCATCTGATATTTTAAAAATTGACAGCAGGTTGGGTTGCTGTGCAGCAGGACAGGTGTTCTGTGAATTAAGGTAAACCTCAGACCTCATAGATCCTGCTTCATACTGCAGCTCCCTGTGGAGCTGCTCCATCTGATGTTTGCATTTGCTTGACAAGCAACCTTTGGTGGCCATCTGAGTTATGACCCAGATCCAGATCAATCTACAAGGTCCAACAGAACATTCCCAGGGAGACAGAGATCATTTGGTTTCTCCTCATGCATTGAAGCCCTTTGAACCAAAAACCTTCAGGCAGCTCAGTTTGAAACTTGTGAAAATAAACCCTGGAAACTGTGGAGTGTAAATCCAGAAAGGATGGCTCATCTCATTACAGCAAAAAAAAAAAAATGAATAAATTAATTAATGTTTCTGTGACAAAGTTAAAACGCTGGAGCAGAAGGTTTAAGGTAAATATAAAGAGCTTAATTAAAGGAAATATTCTGGAATCAGATAAATTTCCTTTATGAATAATCAGGCTTCTCTCTCATTCTCCCAGAGGAAACTAATCCTTTTAAATATTTTCATCAAACCAACAGGAATAACTTTATGATTTCACTAAAAGGGTTTGAAAAAAATAAATCTCCATCATTAGAAGCTGCTGATGTCCAACATGAGGCTCTGCATGTCGGTATGAAAATGTTCTGAGCGACATTCAACCGAGTAACGACACTTTCCATGAAGCTTCACCTCTTCCACCTTTTAGAAAGTATTTGAAGCTCATTTAATTCAACCCGCGCTTCTAAAGGAGAAATAAGCGCGTCTCTGATGCTCCTTATAGATTCATCTAAGAGGCAAAACCTTGAAAAGGTTCATAAATGCTGAACTGATCTGCCTGAGTGATAAAATAAAACAATATTTGCTCTAAAGCATCAGAATCCTGCGGCTGATCTGAGAACACCAACAATCAGAACTCTGACCCGTTCAGTTCATATGAAATATGAAGAAATAGAGAAATAATTTAGCAGTAAAGTTTAACCTCAGACCCATTATTAAAAAAAAAAATCGTATTTTTGTTTGTTTTTTTATATTTAATATAGCAAAAAAAAAAAAAAACCGGAAATATGAACTTAATTCAACAGACCAATTTCTCTTTGTTTCTGTTTTACTTCTTTTACGAAAGTTACATAAAAGGTGGCAAAATTCTTTCAGCAATAAATAATAAATAATTCTGTTGAACGGGAACAAACAATACAATTTCTTGCAGAGAACTAACTGAATAATTTACATGTCTTTGGGAAAGAAAAAGAAAAAGAAATCGCCTATTGTTGGACGGACACTATAGGCCAACTCCCAAATGTCCCACAGCGGCTGTGGCAAAGTGGAGGTAAAGCTGGTTTGAAAAGCCTCTGGCCTCAGTCAGATGAACAGATCAGATAGATCCAGATGATCTGGTGGGTTTATATGATGAGGGTCAACCAATAAAAATAAAAAAAACACCATCGTTTAGTTTTTTGAAAGCTGAGCGTATCGAAAGTAGGCCTACGTGATGGAGATGCGCTCCCAGCAGGGTCCGCTCCTTTCCTCTCCTCCTTTTGGCATCTGAGAGCTGCGCTCAGCAGGTCCGTCCGAATAGAACCCCGGATGGGTGGCTGCAGTAAATCCCATGATTGTCTTCACAGTGTGAAAGTAGCCTACACCCAGTCAGGAGGGATGGGATGACGGGGGGTGGGTGGGTGGGCTGTGTGTTCAGGCGCTCCTCATGCCTCGATGGGGCTGGACACCATGCTGTTCGGCGTGTCGGGAAGCTGGGAGGACATGGATGCTACCTCGCTGCCTGTTGAGTTCGAACCTGGTCCTCCCTCTGAGAAGCTGACCTGCAGGACGCATCAGAGAGGCGGTCATACACAGAACCAGAACCCAACCCGAACACCCGCTTCTAGAGCCAACCTGCGCGTAATGGACCTATGCAAGATGGCAGAAAAAAATCTAAAAACTTATTTATTTTCAACAAAAACTCTTCCGTTTAAAGTCGGCTTTAGGGCAACACCATTCCCTAAAAAAGGTCAAATTACAAAAAAATTATATTAACTGGACCAAATCATCCCAAACGTGTGTCCAATGGGCGCAATTAAAAACTGTTTGAATGGTGAACAGAATCCAGATCCAGTTCGGATCCAAAGGAACATTCGCTTTTAAATAAAAATCAACAGAAATAAAAAAGAGAAACCCAGAAAAAGTTCTGCTCGGGTCACATAGAACCGGAACTAAATGCGGATTAAACCTCATATGGGATTAAGATCTGAAATGATTCTCTCATCCTGCGCCGGAATAGATTTAAAACAAGTAGAATATCTGACAGCGGATGCAAAAACACAGAAAAAAACTTTTTAGAGCAGCAGCGGAAATTTTGGGGAAAATTTAAATTAATTTAGGTGAATTTTGCTGCTTTTTAAAATGCAAACACCGTCAACAATAATAAAATAACGCGTTAAATAAAAAATAAAACAAAATATGTAGAAGCTTAAAATTATTGCCCCACATTTAGAACTTTTTTTAATTCTTCTTAGAATAACCAGAAACAAACGAACCAGTTGTTGGAAGGCCGGCTGGTCGATGTCGCTCTGCAGGGCGAAGTCACTGAGGACCTTCCAGGGCGGCTGGTAGCTCTGCACCTCCACCGGGTTGGCCTGGATGCCGCCGTCGTGTCGCTCCGGGCTGGCCGCGACCATCGGGGTGCCCGTCATTCCCTGGATGTTCTGCACACAGGAGAGAAGGGGGCAGCGATTACTCTCCCCTGCATCATCTTGAGTTTGTGCGTGCGCGCGTAGGCGCGTGCATGGGGAAATTTATCCAAAACAAACCGAATAATAAAACGATGAACTTTTTTTAAAAAGTTGAGCAGACAAGAAGGCTCTGTGAGCCGCTCTCACCGTCTTGTCGTTGGGTTGCTGCTGCTGCAGCTGCTTCATCAGCAGGCTCTTCTTCTTATCCTTGCAGCGCTTGTTCTGGAACCAGACGCGGATCACCCGCGGGCTGAGGCCGGTCATCTCCACCAGCTGCTCCTTCATCAGCGCGTCGGGCCTCGGGTTGGCGTTATAACAGGTCCGCAGCGTGTGCAGCTGCTTCTCGTTCAGAACAGTCCGGACCCGGGTGGTCTTCTCCGGCTGTTTGTGGACGTGGGGTCGGAGAGCGGGCTGCCGCGCCGAGATTGGTTCTGCTGTTTGGGGGACATGGATGAGAGAGCGGCACCATGAGCTGCTGCTCTGATGGAAATCCAGACGCTGGCATAATAGTTTACACATTATAATTAGATTTTAAAGTTTCAGCTATTTTTCAACCTTCTGGTTTGTATTTTTTTTTTATTTTATTTAATTTTTATTGTATTAACATTTTTTAAAGCATGTTTTCATATTCGGTTTATTGGAGTTTAGCCCGCACATTTATTTGCTTTAAAATAAAACAAAAGTAGGTAGCCGGTTTAGCTATTTGTTGTTTATATTTCGGGTCTATTACCAACCAATTGAAAACGCATTGCAAGCAGCCAGAGTCCAGGAGCTTCATCCTCCCCCAGCAGTGATAACCTGCTGCAGAGCGGGGTCCGCTTTATCTAATCTACCCACCCTGGCTGGACAGACGGTGGTCTGTATAAATAAACAGACCCGGGGAGCAGAAGTCCCGCAGCAAACCCGCATTACGCAGCGCTGCGCACAAGGAGAACAAATCCACGTGTCTGAGAAAGCTTCACGGGAAATGAAGGACCCTTAACCAGGTCACAATGGGTAGGCTATACATCAAACCTGGACAGCGTGAGGTAACCCCCATCCCCCCACCCTACACTAACCGATCCTTCCCAGTGCGCACCCGAAAATCAGGGCAAAGCTGATAGAAGCGGAATTAAACTGCCCATAAAAAAGTTTTGTTTTTTTTCTTCTTTTTTCTTTTTTTTTTAAGCAAAAAAAAAAAAAAGCAAAGAAACCCTTCAGATGATCAGATGGTGCCCCTCTGTGTCCATGCCCCCCCCTCGGGACTCTACCTGCCATCTGCAGCGGTCTGGCCGGATGCAGGGGGCTGAGCGGGTCTCCGCTGCCCAGGCTGGCCCGTTCCACCACATCATGGTCAGCGCGGCAGAACAAGCCGTCCTCCCGCAGGGCGAACTCGTCTCCCGGGATGAGCTGCCGGCTGCAGGCCACGCAGCGAAAACATTCGATGTGGTAGACTTTGGAGCGAGCCCTCATGACGAAGTCATTCTTGCTGAAGCCGATATTGCATTTAGCGCATTTAATCCCGTATAACCTGCGGGACACACACACACACACACCTTTATTAACTGACACAAAGCAACACTTCATATTAGTGTTATATTATTATTACCTTGATTAAAAGTTTATATTTTTTATTATATTTTAATTTATTTTAATTATAACTATTAAGGCCTCTTCATATCTATCAATCACACATAAATATATATGTATATTATCATTTATATATATATATATATATATATATATATATATATATATATATATATATATATATATATATATATATATATATATATATATATATATATATATATATATATAAATAAATTATATATATATATAAATATATATATATATATATATAAATATATATATAATTTATATGATTTTACGCAGTTTCTTGATGTTCCGATAATTGTCAATTTCTTATCTTCAAATGCAACTTCCAAAGCTGAATATGATGAATAACTTGCTGCACTTTTTTAGATGTCCATCAAGTTTTTTTTGTTTTTGTTTTTTTCTTGTTTTGGAGTTTTTTTGGTTTGTTTTGTTTTGGGGTTTCTTGTTGGAAACAAACAAAATCTTATTTTTGGAGGCAGTGAAACCAGAACTCCACATGATGCAAATAATCTCTGTTGTTCTTGTAAAAATGTTATTATTATAATTTTTTTTTTTTTTTTAAAGAAAAAAAAAAAACAGCAACACAATAATTCCAATCACCGAGCTGCTCCAGTTCCTGCGGCATCAAAAGGCGTCCCATCCCGTCCCGGCCGTCCTACCTGATGTAATCCCGTTTACAATAAGTCTTCCCATCCCTGACGAAGCAAGTGCATGACTCGTCCAGGTACTGACTGCACTCGGCGCACTTGAGACAAGCTGCATGCCACTCCAAGTCCGGGGAAACCCGCAAGATGTATTGGTCGTGGATCTGGTTCCCGCAGCCCACGCAAAGAGACACCAGTCGCTTCTCTGAAAGAAGAGATGCAGAAGGAGGATCCATCAAAAGCTGCTCCAGATTATTAGAATCATATGATTATCATCATTATGCTCGTTTTAATTATTATTGTTCTTTTTAATATTAATAATAATAACTTATTTGATCAAAAACAGGAATTTATTTGCTTTAAATTATATAAGAGAAAAAACTGCGATGCAAAAGGCCAAGAAAAAGTGTTCTCATTAAAAATATGACAAAGTCCAAAGTTGCAACGACAGTGAAACCAGGATCGCATCTCGACCCCAAACAAGTGTCTTACTTTTCGGAGGATCCCCCATGTCTCCCATGGCGAAAAAGTAAGGCGATGTAAAGTCCACTTTCACAGCGGGCTGCGGCGCCTGGAAGCCTGGATCTGAGCTCCGCTGCCGGGGCCAGGAGCGATGCTGTCCAGCCTCGGAGAGGAAGTGTGTGTATGTTTCCCACCGGTGTGTGTGTGCGCGTGTGTGCGTGGAGCCCTGATCCTGGCAAGCGGCTGGGCTGACGTTGGACATCAGCACGTCATCTGCGTGAGTAGCGGATTGGCTCTGCAGACCCTGTCCGACACACACACACACACACACACACACACACACACACACTGGTAGGCCTGCTGCTGCAGCAAAAGGTTTTTATCTTTGGTTTGCTTTTATGTATTGATCTACATTTTCTGTTTTTTTGCATATTTTTATTGTTCTAACATGGATGCATATTTAATGAAAACATGAAATACATAATCTATTTTTAATCAATTTTAAATAAATGTCTTCTGTATATTGACCACTGGAGAATAACGTTATAAATGATTTAATATTAAACTTTTAAAGGGACATCATTCATCAGAGAATTCAGACCCACTCATCTAATTTTAACTAATGTTGCCAAAATCCAAGGAACTGCGGATAAAAGTCCAAATCTGTTACATGCATCCTTTTTTTCTTTTCCTAATAAAAGGAGAAATCTGCGGCCTGATTTAGGAAAACTTCCTCAATAGAAGCAGGTAAAGAAACTCACTAAAAATGAGTGCTTGAGTGCAGTCGGACCACAGCCATCAGCTGCAGCTCATTTGCCAACACGCCCTCTAGTGTCCGGATGTTGCCAGTGCAGCATCCTCTGCCGGTGAAATAGAACCGAAATGCGGCTTTACAGGTGTGATCATCCGGGCCAAGTACTGCAGCAGTAAAAAAGAAATAATTATCTAAATTTTTACCTTTTCCTCTGTGGTAGTTTGTTCTTCTTTATCTGCAGTCTAGTTGATTTAGTTCTAAGCCAATTAGAGAAGGGCTTTCCCCATTAGATCACCTTTATTACTTAAATGTGATGCTTAGATGTATTGCTTAGATGTATTTTTATATGAACTCAAAAGGTGGCTACCTCAAAGCTAACTGTATTTTGATAAATATTTTTAATGCATTTCCGCTCAGGACCCTGTTGGAGTGTTTAAGATGCTACTGTATAGGCTACACTGAAAAAAATAATGCAACCGCTTTTGGCTTTTATTTCAATTCAATTTAATTCAGTTTATTTATATAGCGCCAATTCACAACACAAATAATCTCAAGGCACTTTACAGTTCAATTATCATTTCGTATGAAATCTTACGAAAAGTTATGCACACTATTTCGTACGTTTTGGACGTTTTTCCTCAAAAGACCACATCAGTGCGCATGCGCAGGCAGACAGACAAAAAAGCGGATCCGCGGACGGACATAAAACTGGGAAAAACAGTGCGATAATCACTTATTCATGTCTCTAACTACGTTGCTTGCTGTTTTATATCTTAGGGTCAGGGTTAGGGCTAATTGTATTTTAAATTCTATGTTCTTGAATGCGCATGCGCATGCGCATACGACGAAAAAAACGTCCAAAACGTACGAAATTACGGTGCATAACTTTTCGTACGATTTCATACGAACTCATAATGAGAATACGCTGATCAAACAGTCATACTTAATCAAATTAATTTAGTTTAACACAATTGTTTTATTTCCTAACCTACTTACATGAAAAATTGTGTTAAGTAAATGGCAAAAAAAAGTTGCATTACGTTTTTCAGTGTAGAAAGTTAAGAACAGAAAATAGAGGCTCTATAACCAACAGGAGGAACTTATTAATCTGTTTTGGGTTTAATTGACTATTTCTTTTTTATTCTTAACATGCAGAGTACAATTAATCGTAGATGATTTTCATTCATTGGGACGTCTCAGATTCTGTTTCAAAGATGCTTTCTCAGAGTCTTTGTTTATTGATTCGATGGTCTTTCCTCAATGTAATGAAGCTTCACTGAGATGCAGCGTGTGGTCAATGGAGAGTTTTTCCATCAGAGCATTGCAGCCGCAGCGATGTATCCAGGATTCTGGAAGCAGCTGCACACCTTCAGCATTTTATTATTGTTGTTTGCATCACAGACAGAAGTGCAAACTGTTATGAAACAGAAAACCAGGCTGCAGATTAGAACAATGATCTGATGTGTCCCTCTGGAATGTGTTCAACAAGAGTGGAAATAGTTGCATCCAATCAGCAGTTTAGAACCAGAAAAACTTTATCAAAGTGGCTTTTTTTTTTCGGGAATATGGGAGATTTTTTTAGACTGACTTTAAAAAATTACTCAACTTGTGTTTAGCCATAACACAGATGTTGTCAAAGTTCAATTATTATCAACAAAGTTTTGTCCTATGCTCGTTTATTTAAATTTAAGAGTTATTTAAGATCATGTCTGAGTTCAGTTACACAGAACCACAATTTCCCTTCCTAAGCATTGAACTCTGAGTGAGAGCATCAGGGTGGGTCGGTGATTTGCTTCCAAAGAAAAAGGCTCCTGCAGGTCTGGCCCAAGCCTGCATGGGACCCTAAGCAAAATTTTATTTTGTGGCCCTCCATTTCTGCCAATGCAAACAACAGAATCATTTCAGCTCTGGAAGTGCAGTTTACAGTCGGCTATGTGTAATAAAAAAAAGTTTATTTACAGCAAGCAGTGTCGTGGTTTATACATATTGTTTCCATCTGCAAAAGCTGTGTTCAAAATAACCAGTAGGGCGATTAAAACAACCAAAGATAATAATTTTTCATAAATAGTAAATGTAAATTAAATAGTTCAAAAACAGACATATTTAAATAAAAAACAAAATATCAAGCATGTTCTGAAATAATGAGAGACATTTTTTTTTGCATATTTTTAATAATTTCTGCATGAGTAGAGATATATGAATGTAAAAATGCTCAGTTTAATCATGATATTGAGTTTTTGTAATTATAAATTTATTAATTAATTTAATTTTCTATCTCTGCTTCTGTCTCCTTGAACCCCAGTCGGCCTCGGCAGATGACCGCTCACGCTGAGCCTGGTTCCGCTGGAGGTTTCTTCCTGTTAAAAGGGAGTTTTTCCTCTCCACTGTCGCTACAAGCAGTGTTGTGCCTGAACGCGTTCATTGAACGAAAGTTCATGAACTCGTTCATATTTTGGGCGAACGTGAACTGAACGTACTGCATTATTGCCTGATGAACGTTATTGTGAACTCGTTCATTCTGGTGTCTGTGAACGGCACGCTCTCTCAGTTCAACTCCGTTCAATAGGTTGCCAGATTTCTATAGAGTCCTCCAGGCGAAACACCGGCTAAATCACACCGTAAACAGGCCTTAATATGTAGCGGGAAAAACACCCAATCTGGCAACACCAGCTACCAGCGTCGTAGCCTACAGCCGCGTGCGTCATCAAAACAAAATGCAGCGTGGAAGCCATAGCAGCATGGAGGCGACAAAGCAGCAGTATGATCACTTAAAACAGTTTTATGACCAGGTGGTCGGTGAGGATGATGGCAACAAGTTTGCCCGCCGGCTTTCAGTGAAAAAATCCGCACTTCAGTAACCTTAAATTCCTACCTCAGCCTGGTCCCTCAGTTTGTGTTAGTAAAATCTTCTTGAGCGGAGGTCTTCAACAGGGGATCCGCGACCCCTAGGGGGTCTACGGAGGTACTGCATGAGGGTCTGCATGGTTAGTTGATATTTTTATATTCCCCCCCTGCAATTTTTTTCCCCACTAATTGAAATGTCTTTAAATACTCATTAACATGAAATCAACACACTGTAGTAAACAGATAAATGGAGGCAGAAGATGTCTTTCAGTCATCAATGCACACATTCAGCGACACACAGGAGCTCTTTCAAGCTGGGCACCGTTTCCTTCACAACACCTGTCCCATCAACCAGGAATCAGAATCAGAAAAACTTTAATAATCCCAGGGAGAAATTAATTTCTTTACATTACTCCATCTGTAATAGAGTGACTATAAGACACAATTTCATACAATATATATAAATAGGGGGTCCCCGCTCCATCTCGCCATCAGTTTGGGGGTCCTTGGTCTGGAAAACATAGAAGACCCCTGTTCTTGAGGGTTTTACTATCCATGTAACTTGTTTGTTACACCTGCCTGGTATAATTTTCCAGGATTCATTTTTAGTATGTATTGAAATGGAATTTCAAATGGAAAAAATTATTAAAATAAAAAAAAAAAACATTTGCACCTTAAAGACTACTTTCCTATTTTTCTTTTAATAATTACTCATAAAAAAGACCATTCAAGCAGCACATTTTTCCTGATGTTTTTGAGAATATACTGTAGGGGTGAAAGCTGCAGCTGCTACTAGTGTGAAGTGAATGGACAGCAACAAAGCATTAAAGCAACAATGGGGAAATGCTGTCCCCTCAATGCTAATGTAAACCCTGGTTGGATAAGGATTCAAAACTGGATATGAAGATGAAATCTGACGCACAGTTTCAGTGTTACAACTGATAAAATAATTGCTGTCTGTGGTTCTACAGTAGGCTATGGTGTAATTGAGCAATATATGAAAAAAAAAAAAAAAGAACTATGAACTAGTTCGTTTTTTGGAATTGTGAACTATGAACTGAACTAGTTCATTTTAAAATGTGTGAACTGAACTTTGAACTAGTTCACGTAGAAAGAGAACTTTCCCAACACTGGCTACAAGCATGCTTAGTGTGAGGGATTGCCTTCGAGTTATTTAGCCGATACAATCAGCTGGTTTCCCTCAGATAGAAAACTTTGAATCCATCTGACTGGATGATCTGGTGAACTGGAAAGTGCCTTGAAATGACATGTGTTGTGAATTGGCACAGATATAAACAATTAATTGAATTTAAAAATGCTAATTAAAAACAACACAACAGTTTTTATAATTTGGATGATTGAAAAGAATATTAATCAGATAATCTACCTTTGAGTTTTATAAATTTGGCTTTTCAGGCCCCTTTGGCATGAGTCTGGCAAAAGAGCCTGAAAAACTAAATGCTCAAATAAATCAGTTTATCTTCACTCTACTTTTCCAGAAAAAAAATAAAAAATGCAGATTTAAAAGTTTTAAGTGGTATGCAAGTTTAGTTTCCTCATGTCTACAAAAACCCAATATCTAGGCAACTGTTTGCCAATTAGGCTTCCCAATTATCCAGGAAATGGA